GGCACCAGAGAGTGAATTTCGATAAGATGGCGGATAGCACGGTGATGGTTTCAATGAGCGAAGAAGTTCCGACTGTCAACGTGAAGCGCCTCCGTGACGCCTTCGGCACAGACAGCAGCAATGCAACTAATACGACGTTGATAGTCCTATTAGTTGCGTATTAGTTGCAGCAATGCAACTAATTGCAGCAATGCAACTAATACGACGTTGATAGTCCTATTAGTTGCTTTGCTGTAGCTGGGGAGCAACTCGTGCGCATCCGTCCATGCAGAGGTCGACGAGGAGGCACTTCACGTCAGATGGGCCGGCCGAACTGGCGTCTATTTCTCACGTAAATGTGCGCGAGGCTTTCATGTCATTCCGAGCTGCGACGCTGACCGAAACATGCTTCACGTTTAATGTGTTGGCGCCTAATTCAGACGTGAGTGTCTGGGAGTCTGCCATGACATTCGGAATTGCGTTTCTGCAAGGGCAGTGGGAACCAGTATAATGTGTGACAGAAGTGCGATGCATGTGATTGAACGTTAGATGGTAGTTTCGTCCTTGAACTCGCACATGGGCGTCGACCATGCCAGCAATGGCGCGTATGATGTAGTGGTTGATTGAATAAATCAAAACAAAAACAGACACTCTTCTACAACTCTTGCGGGTAGCACGGTTCGGCTCAGCTTTTACAAGGAGAGGGAAAGAGAGATGCAGAAAGGCAGCAGGGAAAGGTAAAGAAAGAGTGTGGCGGCTGGTTGTGGGTGCGTCCCTACGATGGAATAGCCGGAAAAACTCCACACATTCCATCGCGGGCGCGTGTGTGCGTCACCAGCACGTCACCTACAGGCGTGCACGTCCCCTACAGAGAGGAACCAATAGCGCGCGAGCAATCCTGACGCTGGCACTGGCGTCCTTCTCGCACTCTTTTTTTTTCTCTCTTTCGTTGCGATGCGGGACCAGCAATGCCAAATACGCGCCCGGGTGCAAGGATTCAAGCGGTCACCTGAGGTACCGCCATCATAATCTACGGAGAGTTGGATGGGACCCCTCTTCCCCCACCTCGCCCGGTAAAACTGCCGGACTTTAAATAAAGTTCATACATTCATTCATTCAAAAATAGTTCAAAAAACAATATTTCTGGTAATTTTCTTTTTGTCAGTACCTAATTATATACATTCACTTTTTTGGTAAGCTACCCGATTCATGGCCGATACCTCAGAGTGAGTGTGAGCTATGAGTTTAGGATCTACATCAACATCTACATATTTTCGTCAGTGCATTCACGGCGCAATATGAACGTAATACGAAACAATATGCGCCTGAGTGGCTTCATAAGGCTGTACCTTTAGCTGCCCTTAACGACTTTCGATTGAACCGTCACTGCAGTGTGAGAGACAATTAGTTCTAATGATATTCTTCATTTTTATTATTATGTATGCAGTTTGTAATAAAACGAAATGCATTATTTAGTTTTTGTTATTGTTAACCTATATATGAATAATGCACGTATTACTAATCTTCCTTGTGTGCATACTGTTCTGTTCTGTTCTGTTTTAACCGTTTTGCTGTGGAGAGGTTGAGGTGCATATTGCCTCGGCTACTCTATATCACAAAGTTCTGCAGCGAAAATAAAAAAAGAGTAATAAAGAACGGTACCCGAAAACTAACAATACGGGAAAAAAACATAATAACACACTGAAACCAGTTCCAATGTCATGCCAATACACAGTTATAAACTGTTTACACGCACACCTTCCTTTTCTACTGTCAGTATAAGCATAAACACACTTTATATATATACATCTCTGGTGGTCTATTATAGGCGCTTGTTCAGTCCGGTCCCCACTAAAAATGCTGTCAGGGAGATTATTGCCTTTTTCTGGAGATACATCTCAGGTCATGGTCCAAGTGGTTTCTTTATTGTTAGGGGCCGTCTGTCCAAACTTGCTAACTTGTTCTTTAGTTTCTCTCTTTCATTCGCGTATTTAAAGCTTCCAAAATAATATGGCGAACATTTTCTTCTGCATGACCACAATGGCATTCCGGTGAGTTGGATCGATGTATCTTGTGCAGGAAGCTGTTTGTGTATACTACTTCCAATCGAAGTCGGTGGATTAATGTCTCTAGGTGTCATGGGAGGTCTTTCGCTATGGAAAATTTTCTGTGTGGATCAACTTCATAAAGTACTGTTTCCTTTGATTTGGGGCTCTCAAACCACTTCTCCATCGAACAACGGTTAGCTCTTTGCTTTATAAAATGTCGAATATCCACCCCAGATATGGGGATTGCGCAATCCCGTCCTTCCTTAAATACTTTCTTCGCGAGGCTGTAAGCCTCTTCATTTCCCTTTATTCCAATGTGGCTGGGTATCCATTGGAATTCGATGTAGTGACCCTGCGATGAGGCATATTTCACAGTTTATGCAATACATTGTGCTATTTCACCACTTTTCTAAAGTGATCTCACATTTCTGATTAGCTAAAGAGCAGGTTTGCTATCCGTGCATATCACCCACTTTCGTGGCTCTGGATTCTCGCAGCTAAGCTTAACTGCTTCACAGATAGCCACCAATTCTGCTGTCGTCGATAAAGATTTGTGCGATAATTTGTACATTCTCTTTTTCTGAATTTCGGGTATAAATACCGCACAGGCTCACTCTTCTTCAGTGCATAGTCCGTCTGTATATATCTTCTATTTTCAATATGCATTATATGAAACTGATGATTTACCATCTGTGCTGCTACTAGAGGTGTCATGTCTGCTTTCTTCACGGATAACGTTGAGAGGTGACCGCGTCCAAGGTGGTTTTGAAGGTTTCCATCGTTTCAATTTTGGTACTACTGCTTGAAGTGATTATACACTATCCTGTAGTCTCGTTGCCGTCCTTTGTGTTAGTGCACCAGATAAAGAATGATTTTCATGTTGCGTTAAAGGTCTAAGTAAATTTCGAGATGTTTCTTTATTTCGGAGTACTGCCAGAGGTGGCTGTCGAGCCTCTGCATACACTAAAGCACTGGAAGTTGACCGTGGCGACCCCAGTCATACCCTCAAGCTCTTTGACAATAACAAGTGAAGTATCCTTTCGGTGGAGGCTGGAAGTCTGTGCAGCAGAGGCAGTTTGTAACTTACGATGGGGCGTATCCAGGCAACATGTAGGGCTAATAATGACTCTCTAGTACCAACCCATTTGGCCCCGCAGAGATGCCCAAAGATTCCAATGGCCTGATTCACTTTTTGTTCAAAGAACTGGACATGAGGCGACCATGTTAGTCTCGTGTCTAAAATTACTGCCAAGAGTTTGAGTTTTAACCATACGAATAGGATGGTTTTTGCAGAATAATCTGGAAATCTCTATGTCTTTTTAATGTAAACGGTATTATGGCTGTTTTAGCCAGACTCAGTGCCATACCTCTTTTTCTTAGAAAGCAATCTACATAATGCAATCTTTCTTATAGAGTTTGTTGTACATCCAAAAACGATGGACCAGACGTCCGTATACTTATATCATCAGCATATACTGAACATCTGACGTTAGGTGGAAGATTATACGGGAGCTGTGCCATGACTGCATTAGAGACAGTAGAGCTTAGCACGCTGCCCTGTGGCACTCCTTGGTTGACGACATGTTCTGACGCTGGGCCCTCCTGCGTAACTACAAAAATTTTCCGGTGCTTCAGGAAGTCACCAATCTAACGCAGTATCTTGCCTTTGAATCCCTGTAACGCCAGGCCTTCCAGAACGTGAACGTTCTGAGTCGTACGCTCGATGGACATAAAAAAATACAGCGACAGTGATGTTTCCTTTCATTCGTTGGTTTTCCACATCTGTGACCAAATCCAGAATGCAGTCCATTGTGCACCTATCTCTTCTGAAGCCGGCTATGCTTTCTGGTAGTAGTTTTTTTATGCCTTGCCACCATAAAATTCGTTTATTGATCAGTTTTTTCTATTACTTTCGAAAAACAACTTGTCAAAATAACAGGTCTAAACGAGTCCAACTGCATAGGGCTCTTCCCTGGCTTTAGCAACGGTGCTACTTTTAAAATCTTCCAACTTTCCGCAACTTTGCATTCTTGCCAACTGGTATTGTTGATGTCCAACAGGTGTAATTTTTCTTTCTCGCACAAATTAGCAAGTGCAGCGTATGTAACTTTATCTGTTCCTGGTGAACTTGTTCGTTTTACTGAAGACAGCACATATTAGAGCTCCTCTGGTGTGAAGCTGTCATCCAGATCTGATGACTGTTACAACCGCCTAAGCTCATTCTGCTGACGAGTTCAATGTGTTTCGGTGCACGTCACAAGCAAAAAAAAAATAAAAAACAGCCTGCATAGCCGCATTGTTGAGATGCTCGTCATTAGATTGTGCGTACGTGGGTTCGTATCCCGCCACCTGGCGCGAATGTTTTTCTTTCCTTTTGTAGCGTAAGCGACACGGTCTACTACTTATTGTTGGGCTATTTGGTCCATTCTGAAGGAAGGTGAAGGACGCAACACACGTACACAATAAACAAGGAAGGGAACAGGATAGAGCTTCTTCTAGAAATACTGACCTAGGTTGAGCAGTTTCGCGCAACTTATCTAGAGCCGTGCTGCGCATGCCCGACGAGCAGTGACGCCACACAGCGCACAGCTGATGCACCGGAGAAAGCCTGCAAGCTCTTATTTTACGAATATATCATACATGACACCCATATATATTACATAGGGCCACTTATAAGTATATGGCAGCATATGTGGCTTCTATTTACCTGATTATTATCGTTGCTGATTATTCCAATCCTACTCGAAAAATATTCAGTGTTTCATTGCGCACTATTCAATTTGAAGACCAAATCGAATAGAAGATTCGATTCGTTATTCGACATTTTCGAATGTTCACGCATGCCTACATATAACACCAGATGGCAAAAAGAGTAAAATAAAAGAACTGAGACTCACAGGCTTTCTTGGGAACACGTGCTTGCAAGGATTTACTATTTGACTTCACTGCCCAATGTGCAATTTCTTCCTGCAGGAAATGGGGAGGCACGACGACCTGTGGTCCCTGTTTTATATGCTGGTGGAGTTCGTTAACGGGCAGCTGCCTTGGCGAAAGATCAAGGACAAGGAACAGGTTTGTGTATGCATGCGACACATCAAAAGCATCGTATTTGTGACATCACAAGTGAAGTCTTGGTTTTTGTTTCTTCCGACATGCGAAGCGGCAGCCTTTGCGACTACTAAGGTCCTTGCGTGCGAGAGCTCGCCGAATAGGTACACAATGCTACAGCAGTAGGAAGGAACGACAGAGACAGGGAATTCAAAAGAGCCCACTTCCAACTGAATTTATCGAGCCTGCTCCAGCCGCTTATATATATATATATATATATATATATATATATATATATATATATATATATATATATATATATATATATATATATATATATATATATATACAGGGTGCATGCAGGATTCGGACGCATTCGTGACAACGCGTGTGCTCCAGTGCATAACACTGTCAACTCAGAAATAAATACATTCTATTAGAGAGGGGAAATGATGCTGTACTGAAGGGTACAGTCGCGCATGCACACAGATCTTGTACCCTGTATAAAGAGTCGGCGGAAGCAGCTTCAGTTCGCTCACTTGAATGTGAGCACTTTCTGCTGCCTCGGTTGTTGTGTGGCAGGAACCGACTGGCCCGTATGCAGCCTTCGTCATTGAGAGATCACGGCCTAGGCCTAGAAAAACAAACTCACGTAAAGAGCGGGCGATACCGTAGGGCCCTGCCGCCGAGCTACTGCGCAGATTTCAGCGCCACAAGCGGCTGGTCAGACCTGATAATGCCTTCAGCATTAACAAAACAACAAAAGTATTTTGTGCTGATGCTGGAATAGGAACTTGTATTCTTGTGCTTCCTAAGCGAGTGTCTTTACCACTATAGGCTACAAGCCAGGGCTTCCACAAAGAGAATGCATGTACAGTGCATCTAAACACGTGCTTGTGTACACTTTGACCAAAAAAAGTAGAAAGACAACTTTTTCTAGTCAGACTTTACTGAATTCTGTGGTAACGCATTAAACGTCCTTAGTGGAACATTTCTAAATGTTAATTCGAGCACGAACGCACGACACAATCACTCACACACACACTTAAAGATAGGCATCAAACACACACAGTGGAACATGATGTAGAACCGATATAAGTGAATACAAGTGAATATTTTTTTTCTTTTGAAAAAAATTTATGCCAAACTTGAGTCTTCATGGCCCTACTGAGGCGGATAGTACATGTGTTGACTAACGAGTGGAAGTGAGGGTGGGTACGCCATCTAACGGTTTGCTGCTCGGTTGCGAAAAGGCTCAAGGAACCACTCTTTATGAAAGAGATGCCAAAATTTGTGCAGAAACATCTTTACGAAACTATATTTCCCCTGGCCCAGGTGGGCCAAATGAAGGAGAAGTACGACCACCGGCTCCTGCTGAAGCACCTTCCGTCGGACTTCCGCCAGTTTTTGGAGCACATCTCTTCGCTAGACTACTACGACCGGCCTGACTACCCCGTGCTGGCGGGGCTCTTCGAGCACTGCATGAAGCGGCGTGGTGTGCGTGACTCGGACCCGTATGACTGGGAGAAGCCTTGCGCGCCGGTCAGCGCGACGGACAATGCCACCGGGGCCCCGCCTCCGGGAGCCACCATCACCACTGCCCCGCTCATTTCCAAGGGAGCGCAGCAAGGGTACGCACGGCCCCGTACTTGAACCACTTTCAACATGGCTATCTCTATCGTCGTCGTTTGCGCTGTAAACACGTCACCAACTAGGTCAGTCTCCATCGAACACTTCAGATATCAAGCCTACTGTTGCTTGAATTTTCTTAAAAAGGTTAGGCAAGAGATGCCACAGTTATTAGAAGTATGTGCTTGTGGTTCTCGGTCATGGATGTTTGGAGGACCCCTTGTGGTCAAGAACACCTTGCGAACAAAACGTGGTTAGTACCTTTCTCGCAGGAACCGGTAAAACACGAAAAGTAAAGCGTGTCTTTGTAGAGGTTGTTGAGCGTTTATTGTGCATTGCTTCGCCCCAAGGGCAAGGAACAAATGCTGTAGGAACAAAGTGTAATGTCGCGTGAAGAACGGCATGCTACTCAAAACTTGCACCTCACTATTCAAGCGGGAAGGTCACACGAAAAGAACAGGACGAGCATGAAATAGCAACTGTCAGATCTCGGCACCGACAACTTGCTGCTATAAACGCAAAGAACGGCGCACAAAACGAGCACCTAAGTATACTCCGTGACGAGCGTGGACTGAGTGTAATATTTTAGTTTTAATGCGTCAAAACCACGATTGGATTATGAGACCCACCGTAGTGGAGGGTTTCGAAAACTTCGGCATCCTGTGGGTCGCAACATACGTAACAAAAACGTGCGCCTAAATCTGAATACACCCAATGTTTTTTTTTTCGTTAGGTCTTTGAAAGAAAAAGAGTTTGTATTCTTAAACAAAACGCAGTAGTGTGACTCTTTACGCATTGATGTATAGCTTTTCGACTGCTGCTATGATGTGTCGATGTAAAGCATTTCAACTGCTTTAATCATACTTATTCGTCTCCGCATTATCGTGGCGTTATATTTTGCCTTATCGGCCCAGCCTGTATGCACAACGTACAGGGCCCACCTCTGTCGAATGAGCATTCTGTTGGAAGTCAGTGCATCATACCATCGTCTTTCTTAGCTCACGTCTTTGTCGTGCGCCACAAGTTTTCACGATGGAGTTTCAGCATCCATGCTTTTTCTTCCCATTTCGCAAAAAAGAAAGCTCTCAATTTGTAAAAATGACGCGCAAAGTAGGACTGATTTTTCCTCCCCTGCGTAATTACTCGGGCTGCTACTAAACGCGACACGTATGTGCGTCATCGCAGGAGCGTCCTACTTCCAGGCGGCACGGAGCACCTTTTGGACGACAACATCATGGCCAGCTACGACGATCGAGGTGACGACATGGTCCCAGAGTACGACGGCACGCCCGCTCCGGTGAGGCACCTTCACTACCCTAGCCCGTTTACCTGCGCCCCGCATAGCGGTCAGGCACATTTCATGAAAGGGGATGTACGTGATGCGACAAGTCTCAACCTCGCTCATCACAAGGAAGGGAGAAGGCAGGGAGGCTAACCAGAAAGAAATCCGGTTGGCTGCCCTACACTGGGGAATAGGGATGGGGACAATAAACGTGAGAAAGAGGGAAGAGAAGGAAAACAAAAAAAAAGTCATAGCTTTGCGGCAAAGGCGAAGCAATGAACGCGATAGCAACACATTGAAAGGTCAGCTCATCGCATTATTCTGACACATTCAAACGGTACAAAGAGAGAGTAGAAAGGCAAATACTTGAACGTAAATGTGGAAAAAATGAGCCATACAACAGATTTTCCGCTTGGCTGAGTTGCAGGCAGCGCTAAACTGCTGCAACAAATCAGCCCCAGGCTCTTACCGTGTTTTATATCGAATGCTTAAACACTTACCTCAAGAACACACAAAGCTCTCCTATGTCTGTATAACTTTATGGACTTCTGGCGAGATTCCCTTTGCGTGGAAAGAGGCCGTAGTAATACCTATTTTTAAACAGGGCAAGGATCCATCTTCCGTATCGAGTTACAGACCTATTGCTCTGACTAGCTGCCTCTGCAAATTTTTCAAAAAGATGATAAACTGTCGGTTATTACATTTTTTTGGAATGAAACAAACTCCTCGACCGATATCAGTGCGGATTCCTAGAGGGTCGATCCACCACAAACCATCTCATCCGCATAGAGGCGCAAATACGCGAAGCTTTTATTCATAAGCAATTTTTCCTATCTCCTTTCCTTGACATGGACAAGGCATACGATACAACGTGGCGTTTAGGAATATTGAGAGACCTCACACATTTAGGTATACGAGGTAATATACTAAGTGTAATTGAAAATTATATGTCCAATCGTACTTTTCGGGCTCGAGGGAGCAATGCGTTGTCATGACCATTCGTGCAAGAAACGGGAGTACCGCAAGGCGGTGTCCTCAGTTGTACTCTCTTTGTAGTCAAAATGAACTCCCTGCGATCGTGCATTCCGCGTAACATCTTTTATTCAGCATACGTTTATGATATACAGATAGCTTTTAAATTCTGTAATCTCTCGGCATGCGAGCGACAGGTTCAGCTATGTGTTAACAAGGTCTGTAAATGGGTAGATGAGAACAGTTTCAGTCTGAATCCATTGAAGAGCTCCTGTGTTCTGTTTTCTAGGAAGAGAGGCCTTTACCCTGATACCCATATAGAGTTTCAGGGTGAGCGCGTAGCTTTCAAGAGTCAACAAAAATTTTTAGGCATAATTCTAGACACGAAGCTCACGTTTATACCACACATTAAGTACATTAAGGAGAAATGCATGAAAACAATGAACATTCAAAAGGTGCTGTTCCACACAAGTTGGGGCAGCGACAGAAAATGTCTGATGAGCCTCTACAAAAGCCTTATCCACACACGTCTATCTATGGGGCGATAGTGTACCAGTCCGCACCACCAACGGCATTGAAAATGCTGGACTCTGTCCACTGTCTAGGCATTCGCTTTTCTACGGGAGCTCTTCGTACAAGCCCCGTGGAAAGCCTCTACGCAGACTCAGATGAATGGTCGCTACATATGCAAAGAATGTACCTGTCGTTTACATACATTTTGAAGATAACCGCAAAGACCGACCACCTTACATACCCTGCTGTAAACGACACATCCAGATCCCAGCTCTTTCAAAACCGACCCACATTGAAACAGCCCTTCTCGCTGCGTGTTCGAGCACAAGCTGGGGACACGGGCGTCCCATTGCTCAAACACCGCGTAATGGCTTCTACTACATGTGCCCTGCCATGGCAGTGGCAGGTTATAAATTGTGACACATCTTTCATGATTGTGACAAAGCATGTCCCACCCCTACACATTCATATGTACTTCTGCGAATTGGCACACAAATATATCTATCCAGAATTTTTCACTGATGCATCGAAGAGTCGCGTGGGCGTATCGTACGCAGTGGTGGGCCTATCTTTTTCGTAGTAATAAGGGCTGCAGCGCGAGCACGAATGTGCTAGAAGAAACAGACAAAGTCGAGGTACGGAAGGCAAAAGAGGACAACACCTCCGTACCTCCTTGCCTTCCGTACCTCGACTTTGTTTCTTCTAGCACATTCGTGCTCGCGCTGCAGCCCTTATTACTATGAATTCAAACCAACTAGCCCAAATCGCCATTCTTCTTCCTATCTTTTTCGGATGTCGGCATTCCCCACCCTCATACAAGCATTTTTACAGCGGAAGCTCACACAATACTGGCAGCAGCAAAACACATTAAAGAATCGAGAATAAGTAATGCAGTCATATACACGGATTTATTAAGCGTAGTAAATACTTTAAAAGTCATCAGCAAGTACAAAAATCCTGTGATTGCTTCGCTATACTCTCTCCTTTGTGCCATTTAGGCATCGAAACGGCATGTAGTAGTATGTTAGGTACCAGGACACCGTGAAATTGATGGAAATGTACTAGCGGATAAGCTTGCAACATCAGTCCATGTTGCAAGCGAACACTTCGCAGTCATCTGTAGCTGTCCCCGTGATGGACTTGAAACCCTTTTTGAAAAAAAAAAAACGAGGGATTATTGGCAGCGTACACGGAACGGACAAGTACATAATAAATTACATTTATTCAAGCCTTACCTTGGTGGCTGGCCATCAACATCACAAACATGCCGTACAGAAGTTACGTATCGCTCTCTCTGTCGGTTACGTATCGGACACACATATGGTACACACTCACACCTTGTGACCGGTGCTGATCCACCAATGTGTGAGAATTGCGGCGAACCCGTTAGTGTCCTACATATTTTGATACAGTGCAGTGAATTAGCTAATATTCGAAAAAAGCATTTCCCCACATCCTACCGAGAACAAATGCCTCTTCACCCGGCGATGCTCATCGGTAGAGATCCACTTTTCAAACATCATTTATTATTTGCATTTTTAAAAGATGTTCGCAACTTCCACGTGAGCTACCCTGGTAATTTGTAGAACAACCTATCACAAGAGGTTGTTGGTGCCGTAAATACATTACAAAGCACATGTTTCGCGGCCCTTGGAGACAAGGACGCCGAAGAGACATTCGTGCTCTTTATACTCTTCATAGCTTTATCATCAGAACTATTGACCACTAGTTTTCACTGTACACATTTCATGTCACTCTCATAAGTTTATTCATAATTATTCGTAATTATGTTTACCCGCCTTTAGAGTGCGGAATATTAGGTCCTTTTACAGCCACTCATCATACCCATTGCCCAAATTTTTTGTCGCATGTACTGGCGCTCTTTGGCCATACGTGGCCCTTGCGCCAAGAAACACTATATCATCATCATCACGTTGGAAGGTCACATGCAGAATGGCAGCAGATAGAAACGTGCCCGCGTTTCTCAAGCACAAATGACGCTTGAAACGCTCACACAGGTTCACACGACCACGAAGAAGCGTTTCAGTTGTTTCTTGCTGTGTCTGAAAAGCGCCTGTTCCTCCAATGCAGATTGTGCCACGATTGCAAAGACATTTGTGCGCCTGGTAAATGCATCAGAATCGTTCCGGTAAAATCCCAAGGCCACCAAACACGTATAATTTTCCCACCGTGAGATGAGCGCGCGAAAGGGAGCGTCCAGTCTCTCCTCTCCGCGGGGCGAAGCACACGTGGAGGGTAAGCGCGTGCCGCGGTGTCGTGACGATTCGTCGACGCGAGCTCGTTGTGCCATCTTTCTGGTAATGCTGAAAACACGAGCACCGAAATGCCCGTCAACAGCGGTAAAAGATAGATATAAATAGCTTGCCTTTTGAACGTTGAACTACGCGACTCTCCGTGGCTCAGTGGTCAACGCCTCGCTCTCACGTTTCAGAGGTCGTAAGTTCGATACTGCGTGCCGCAGTATTTTTCTGGATTTTTTCTTTCAAGCGTTTTCATATCTTAGATACGTTTGCATATACACTGAGCGACGGTCACACCGGCAGCAAAATCCAGCCAAAAGTGTCGACATAATTGCTATCACAACAAAAAACGAGAGACAGACAAATTCATTGGAGCGTGTAGAAGTTCACCGTATGTCAGAGGCATTCGCATAAACCCGTCGTCCTCAAAAATTTGGCAGATCACACGTACCTCCGGAATCGATGTTATCCGTAGAATGCAGATGGAAGGTGAGCGTGTCGCAATTTTTTTATTGGCCAACACGTCATGAATGACGCTAAATATTGAAAGCCTCCGCCTTCACCCAAGGGGGGTCAGTGAGCAAAATTCGCAGGACCGAGCCAGCAATGCTGAGAACAAGAACCGATTTAAATTCGCGACTCAAAATATTCACGAGCAGCCTTCCAGACCGACTCAACGTGGCCCTAACGCATGCAGAAGGATCAAAAATCCGGAGACAACGATCCCCGCAGACCGGCTGTCGATCGAACATACGCAGTGAAACAACGTCAGGAAAGCCAGCATAAAACATAACAGCAAGAAATATAACACGCAAATTGTCGTAGAATACGGGCCATCGACTGGCTTTATAGCCGACGCTTCCTAAACTGGCGAGGCCTCGCCACTGTAGCACGCACGAAGGAAACACCCCTTGCGCCTAGCGTGATGGACGCTGCATCCCATCGCTGGCCTGCCACCGGAAAATCCCCCAGGCTGGTCACGCACTCCTTCTTATCTACCCACTAGTTTTCCACCCCCTGTGGCTTTCTGGATGCTGACGTGCAAATGCGCATGGGCTCTCCTCACTCTGCTTCCACCGTGAATGCTGCAGATAAAGGCCCATCGGCCCGACAGTCCCCCCCCCCCCCACGCACACACACACACGAGAATGGACACTCCACCGAGTACTATGGCCCACAGACTAGTGACAGCACTAATGAACACTATAAAAATACAAAGTGGAAAACTAAGAATCAGTCTCTGATTAGTGTATAGAGTTCGTCGGGGCA